GTTCTGTATACCGTATATAAAACGTGGAACGTACAGAATGTGCATATTCTTCTGTTGGATACGAAAAATATAGAAATATGCCAAGTGTTTTATATTTTTGTTCAGTACTGTAGGCTGTAGTATATGTATCTCCTACGGAGGCGTGTGCTCGCAGAATTGAAAATGTATCGAGTTCGACCAGACCCCGTGAAAGGAGCAGGAATACCAATCCCCAAGGACGAATTATTCGCACCGGAACAGTCGCGTGTTTCGATGCTAATCAGGCACTGTCGATGCGAGGATTTATGAGGACTCAAAGGCAGATTTTATCTAACGCCAAACATTCGTTTCTTCTTTACGAGAAACGGCTCCGAAGGCCTGCGACGTTTTTTTTACGTTCTCTTCCATATCTGTTGTCGCGCCTCTGAGCATGTAAACCAATTACATGGGCGTGTACATTTATTTATATGGTCGTTCATATACGTTATAATTGTTCTTATCATTCCCAAGAACGTAAAAAATATTCTCAAGCGACGAGATTGGAGATCTGTTAAAGAATCGTGGCAATTCTCATGATTTAATCACTTATAGAAACGTTATGCGTCGATGCTTATAGTTACGCAATATACGAATTAGTCACTCCTAATCTGGAAACTTGGATAAGCTAAGAACTTGATCGACCAAGCCTTCATCCGGTTCTTCAGGCATATTAATTTTTGTAACTAGCTTTATACAAATATTGTACGAGATATAGTAATCGACACTATTACTGATTCGATGGAAGTTTGTTAAACAGATTTCGTCACGATAACGTTTTAAACGAAGATTCTTACTTGGAAATTAACACTCATTAGTAATGATAATGTTTATAGCTTAATTTATAGTTTATACATGGTTAATGTGTGTTTGTTACAGCATCGTTTAATTCAATATTAGCAGAACCAGACATCCATAAATCTCAGGCTTGCACGCAGTTGGCACAGTCGCTAGTTTAATTTCCCGATAATCCAAGCACGTTTAGACCAGAGAGGAAAATTCCTAACGTTACACACTTTAGCGGAATTTCGAATCTTTACAACGTTTCCTGGCCTTCGATCAACCGACGACGCGTTAAACGCGCAGCTTGCCAGAATCGTTCAGGTATCGGTATAAACATAAATATTCAAGAGCTCCGATATTGCAACACCTACACGTACGCCGTGCACGCTCCATTTTCCAGAATATATTTCTGTTTCCTCTTCAGACATTCACAATATTCGATCTTTCGGGACGAAATGATAATCTCTTTGACAAAACTGTCAACAAATGACCGTCTGCTATCGTGCAGAAATAAATTTATACCTATACGATAATTTCGGGGAACCCTGTTTGTTATTTCGCTCAAGTTAACGAAATTTTACTCTCCTTCCGGTCGTACATTTTTCAACGTCTATCAGCGTACCGTTGCTTTTAACATTTCTTTTGCGATTTCTCTTATCAATCAACCGAGAAAGACCCGTATCAAAGAGTCGACAGATTCTTGGACGGACTCTGCAAAAAAGTGCGGGTCAGTAACGTTACTTTATCAGCGACGATAATATTATTTACTTTCTTACTATACCACAGTCTCGTCGCACTCGTTATCCATTCTTTTTTCTTCGTGTCGTCTTTATTACTGGTTCTCTCTTCTTTTGTGGTCTAAAAGTAAATGGCGACCCCTTGATGAAATGTTTGGAGAGTATGTCCCATTTAAAGTTTACAATTCTTTACGAATAAAATTACTATTCTCTGAACAGCCCTTGCTCTACGATGTATTTCCAACAATCATTCTAAGTGAAACTAACATATCTCAATTTCTATTAAATATTTTAATGCAATTCTTGCCATTAACACTATTACAATGCAATTTGAACTCTGTATCGATATTCATCTTCCAAGGGTGCTCTTTTTAATCCAACGTAGACAAAAATCTGTACGATCGAAGCAAGATATTGACAACGAATTTAGTAATAAAATATGAGGGGTCAAAGTAAATGGCACGTGTGATCCAAATGCTAACTTACGGAATGCCCCGATTGGATCATAAATGGCGTCGCCGTTCGCCAGCGTCGTAACGCGTCGCGACGATGATGTAGCGTGACGCTGATTCGCGGTAAAATGTACCAGCTCGGTCATTCACCAAGATAAATTTACATACGCGCCATTCACACCGAACGTCCTCGAATATAGTCGAGGCTATAGAGCGTTTGTCCTGTCGACGAACGTAAACAGACCAGTTGTCCGTAGGCCGAATCCATCGAACGTGGCATTAATGGCACGCACCGCGACGTTAAGAAAATTATTGCTCATCAAACCGTACCTTGGCAAAGGACGATTGGTTCACCGCGACGACCGGACAAATTAGTGGATGATAAATGCAGACGCGCTTCCGACTTCGATTGCTGCGTCGAGGCAACCATTAATCATATTACGGTTTGTCGACACAGTCTTTGTACTTTCCCGCTCGTTCGTAATTGAATTAGAACGCCCGGAAAAGTTCCCCGATATTAATGGGTAATTGGAGAAATTGAGATCTTCGTGAAATCAAAATTATGTTTCGGTAGTAATCTGGGGAAAGCTCTCTGCCTCGAGGTACAGCGTTTCTCAAAAATATTCTGACACCTTCGTGGTTTCAACAATTGGACCGTTTATTTTGAAAGTGGTGTAAGTCCATTTTTGAAAAAAATGAGATATCACGTAATTCATGCTTAATTTAATGTAAATTTTTTAAGTATAACTAGTCCGTGTTTAATTTCTTAAAAAATTCCCATGTTTTGTACAATTTAAAATTGGTTGGTAAATGAAATTGCATAATCATCGATTATGAAAATGGTGTAAGTCCAATTGACAGAGGTAAGTGGCTTAGCAGATGGTTGCCGATGGTTATTATGATGTGATAACACAATGTAGAAAACATGATAAATTCATGTTACATGAAATGAAACGAGAGAATTTCGTTTCAATAAAAAATCTTCAAAATGCGATTAAAAAACAGATAAGAAAAAACACTAATGAAGAACAGGTAAATTGGTTGCAAATATGTTGGATGAGATTTCTCAAAAGTGCACCATACACTATTTTATATAAAACATCGATGAAGGACAAAGAATTTAAAACTACAAATTTATTACCTACACGTCATGGAAGACCGCTAAAATTTGAAAAAATCGCCCTGGCGCCTTTGTACCATGATGCCAGGCCTATAACTCATGAAAAATATAAAGACATCAAACAGTTATTACCTTATATACCTCCGGTGCATCATGCATATTTCGAAATGCATATTTCACTGCCACATGCAGAGCATAAGTAAATACTATCAATATCTTGTAATTTTATCAATGTAATTAGCGTCTAAAATTGAAAATACTACTTCTATTTTATGTCGTGTCATTATTTGAAAACAAAATTGGATTAATATGAAGTATATTTTAAGTGATATTTGATTTTTCAAAATTGAAATTAAACGACCTTTACAATTGTCTAATTTTGAAAGTGGTGCAAGTCCATTTGCAGCCCGTAACTATACATCATTTTAGTAAAATACGCCTAAAACAAATTTGTATAACGAAATTACATATTGATGAAACAGTAGAAACATTGCCAGACTTCATATAATTTGCCTAAATTTTTTAATTAACAGATATGTTAACCTTTAATTTTCTCGAAACAAGAGAAAATGGACTTGCACCACTTTCAAAATAAACGGTCCAATTATGCACCTTAATTAAACGTACAGAGAAGACGTGACATTTGTCTTAATATATTTCGATAGAATTTCTATTTTACAGAAGTTTTGTAGGTTATTGAAAATCATTTTCCTATTACGAATCACATCAAACGCATTATTTCACGGTCTGCTAGATAGGAATTAGGATCTTGTTTCTCTGCTCGAGAAGCGCATCCGGCAGTGGATTTGCGCGAGCGTGATGTACCAGTCAAATTATACAGTGGGGATAACCCTCTTATTGACATTGAAGAGCCAATTAACTTTAACTCGACTGTGATATTAATCGATGTCCTAGATATCGGCGGTACATCGTTATCACGGTGTCCCAACACCGCGACGAGTGAACGTAAACGAATTACAGCAGCAAATTAAGCGTGTTAGCCAATGTTTGGACAATTTGCCATCGGCAAAGCAAAAAGACTTTTGCGCCAATAAAGCGGGAACAAAAATACTGTGCCATGGATACGATTACGATTTTTGCGTTTCTTTATTTTATCGGGATATTACGAGGCCAGATAAGATTGTATAAATTGAGACAATAAAATTAACGGATTGATAGATATCAGGTAAACGATTACTTAACCGATGTACAAGAAAAAAAAAGATAAAAAGTGGAATCGAGTTTGAATTATTTGTACGTGAACTTTAATCAATACTTTCGGTAAATTCTTTCCAACCTTCGTGTGCTCTTTCAGACAATTCTCTATATTTTTTCTTGTCGCTATTACAGTTATTTATTCTACGCATTCCATGATTTTCCTTTTCAAATCTCGCGAGATTGGTCTCAGTTTACTTAATGAAACTTCGTGGAAATAAAATGATGATAATAACTTTAAATATATACTCTACACGTTACTTAAGTACATTAAAACGTTCTTACTACAGAGCTGGTAACGAAGCAAGAAAATTGAAAGTAGAATGTAAAAATTAGAAATTCCTGTGCCCCTCTTTGTTTAAGTTTCCGTTCTAAGCTCGTGTTGGAGAAAGATGCATCGTAGAATTCTCGCCTTAGAATGTAATTTAAAAACGACCAATCAGCCTTGATCGATGGTCTAAATGACGACGTAACCACGTGTAGAAAGTATCAAATATTAATCCCATTAGAAAACCATCAAATATTAAGCGATACATAGAGAATGCAATTAGTTTTTGTCATTTTGAGGCCATAATTTGTATCACGAATCAGATATTATAAAGGATAAATAGTGTCATAAATATTCTGTTTCAAAATAACTGTTTACAATTATGCAACCAGCTTGACGTTCGTTCCCAGGTTCCCTCGATGTCCCTCGAACTCTGACGAAAGGCTGAGGAGCCATTGATAAGCGGACCACTCATCCTCGGTCGTTGATATCGTGGCAATATTTCAAACGAGCGGCCAACATATTTTACGATGCACCGCGGGACCCTCCTCGTTCCTCTCGCGTGAAATCTGCTTTCGAAAGGCTCGTTTTCATGCATCGACCGTCGTTGGCGACACGCAGAACACGCGATCTACGAACGTAATATATCCTGACAGCTGGCGACGATTTTAATTCGTGACGAGATTAATTCGATCGTGTCATGGCGCTCGAGAAAACAGACACCGCGGGACAATTCGTGAAAGTGCGAAACGAGAGGGCCATTTACGAGCCGTCCGAACGATGGCGGATCTGGAGGAACATTTTGGTGATCGGGCTAGCGTTTATGGTGAATTTCACGGCGTTCATGGGCGCCACCAATCTGCAGAGCTCGATCAACGCGGACCAATCGCTGGGTACCTTCACCCTCGCCTCGATCTACGGTAGCCTGATCTTCAGCAACATCTTCCTACCGACTTTGATCATAAGGTAAATCGTCCAAACGATTAACGTCACAACGAAAACGATTATTTCAAAATCACCCGGTGTCTCTGCTCCGTTCCTTTTATTGTTATTATCGCGTGCATTATTCCTAATATTCGTTGGAGAATTTTGCCGGAAAACCAATTTTTATCGAACAATGCAACCTTTTTTTGTAAACCGGAACAGTGTAATAATATAAAAGAGGGCGCGTTTCTGAATAGCCTGCGAAGGTCTGTCTTTTGTGAACAAGTCTATTGTTTGTCGAGCTTTTTCCCCCGCTGTGAGCTTAAAATTTGCCGCGTTCGCGATAATTTTATCTCAACGCGGGATGCCGCGTATTAAGCTATTACGTTCTATCGTATTTAAAACGCGGCGCGAAATGTAAAAGCGTCTTTCCGCCTCCCTTCGCGGTGCCATATTCAAGTACACGTGACCTGTTTAGTACAAAAGGGTCAAGTAGTTGGAGAGCATTCACCTTTTGTATCTTTTAACAAGTAAAGAGAAAGTGTCGGGAGAAGAGAAACCGTAGAGCGTCGCTCGTTCTATGCGTGCTTCCTTTTCCATTTTTAATTCCATTTAAACGCCGTTAAACCTCGACAATCTGTTGAAAGAAATTTACTACAGAACGTGGAAAGAAACGAGCGCCAGCGGCTTTTTGAAAAAAAACCAGACAGAGACACTGGCGGTAATCTTTGTTATTGAATTTTGTTTTCCGTGAAATTCTCGCCTTGACACGGAATCATCGATTACTTCAGACCGCCATATTGCATCGCAGGCCAAAGCCGGATAACCGATGCAACAGCGTGTGCTATTTTTTGGCTTTGAAAGTCGTTGGCGCTTAGTTTATTATGACAGTAGCCAGATTTGACTCCGTGCTACTATTTTTTTTATTTTTTAAATTGCAAGGATAGCAGTTTCATACAATATTGGACCTTCAAAAGGCTACGACCGTTTCCCTTTTATGTCATCCTGAAATAGACATATCAAAGGTGTTTTAAGAGCTCTCGCAGACGTTGTAAAACGTGTATTTCTTTAGAAGTGACGTATCCTCAATAATTGGAAATAAAAGTTATTATTATTTCGTGGAAAAGTTTCGATACAATTTAAGTTCGCGAAACTTTTAAGATGGATCGTATAAGTTCGCGTTTTATTCTGAGAATATTAAATATAGAATTTACTCGATCAACGATATATCGAAATGGAACTATTCCGAGGATTGAGAATCTTATTTATTTAAGTTCAGTATTATTAATAGAAATTCAATACGGAGTGCAAATAAACTTCTAGAAATTGAGTTCTTATCACTTCTTCAGAAATAAACTTTGTGCTAAGTAGAACACGAAATGTCACAGTGTTACACATGTTCCTTCGCTGAACTCAAATATCTCGGAATTTATTAATAAAATAGATTATTTAAATTATAATTTGTAAGAGGGGAGCTTTGTTGTCTCCGTTCTCTAAAAAAACGGATCGTCAAACAAAAACGAGAGCGTTCATTATAGACCGTATGATCATAAATTATTAGCATTGCATTAATCACAGAGACACCATTTGGTGATTTGATCCGCAGCTGCTTAATAATTAATTCTGTTCGAATGTCGAGGTTGATTTATATTAATGACGTTCTAACAATAGCAAATTAAGGTAACATAACGAACTCGTAATACAAAAAGAATTAACTCCAACAGGAATTAAAAATTCGATTTGTTGTGTATTAACACTAGAACTACCGACAGTTAAAACGATAGATACGTGAAGAAATCTGTGATGCAATGAAAATAAATCTTTATTCATTCTCTCATAGAAAATCACGATTTTTCAAAAATTCAGACGAGTATATTTTTTACAATTTTTATCAGAAATTACGAATGGGTTATTTTAACCACTTTGGTAGTTCTGGTGTTAAAAAAATAAAATTTCGTACTTACGTCTCTTGTGAGATTTACCATTGTATGTATTTCGGAGGATGAGCATCAGCACCACTTACATCCATTAATTAGACCTTTATGCAAATTCATACTTTTATTAATAGAATTAATGAAACGACAGTTGCCTCTCTTTGTAGAAGGTTGTCTCAGCCTCTAAATAGAATAATTCGTATCTTATTCAAGTATTTCTTATATTTTTGCATATTAAGTGCATTCTGTAGCTTTTTGAAAATTTAAATCTTCCATAAATGCATAAATATCCGCAGCCCGTTCATAATACACAAATTCACTTCGTTTTCCCGACGCGAACACGCCAGAACACCGAAATACGTCGACAAATTCAAGGGTCCATTCGAATGTTTCGCGCAAAGTCCTTCTCACGTCTTTCCACTATCCTTGCTTAGACAAGACTGATTTCATTCGTTTCAAAAACAATTCCAAAACCCTGGGTCCACGTTCAATACGACCCCAGCGTATTCCACGAATACCTAGTATACCTATCTACGCCGCTTGTAAACATTCCCAACGTAAATTATTTCATGACCCTTCGACGACGTATCAGCGACCATTTCTCTGAATGTACAAAAAAACCCATCGTGCCTGAGAGTCTTGTAACTTAATCCTAAACAGATATTTCTTACAATCTATCCTTACGAATAACTTCCCCGCAAAGTCTGTCAACCATAAATTAATCATATAAATTCCAATGTTAACCCCTTACCATACAATGACAAGTTCTTCATATTAATTTTCACAATCATGGGACTACTCACCCGCCATCAAATCTTGTATATTAAAACCAACAGATTTTTACATTCACGAGGTATTCGTAAAACAAATCTATTCTTTTTCCTGGCCATTCCTTGTACGAACAAATTTAAACAAAATTGAATAGTATACGTTTACAAAATGACATGAAATGTTACGTCAAGGGGTTAATTTTCTGTTCCCCACGAGTATGAGATGAAAAGTTTGATTTTTTGGCAAATTGTTGAGGTACCGCCTAAGAGTACAAGAGAAATTTGCCCAATGAATGAAGTTTCAACCGTAAAAAGTGTCTTATCTTGTCCTTGCAGCTGGCTGGGTTGTAAATGGACGATATCCTTGTCCATTTTGACTTATGTGCCTTTCATGGCCGCTCAGTTTTACCCAAAATTCTACACCATGATACCGGCTGGATTATTGGTCGGCATTGGTGCGGGTCCTCTTTGGTGCGCCAAGTGCACCTACTTGACAATCGCAGCGGAAGCATATTCCACCCTCTCGGACGTAGCCGTGGACGTCCTCGTCACGAGATTTTTTGGGGTGTTCTTCATGTTCTACCAAATGGCGCAAGTCTGGGGGAATCTTATATCTTCGGCAGGTATGTACGTTCACACACCTTCCTTTTTACGAATAAGCAACTTCGCGTAAGTACTGAGCTCATGGCAAAAAATAAATTCAAGATTCTGAGACTAAATTATTAATGTTAACTTTTTGTTAACTTTCTACGGTGAGCACTTCTAAATCTAGAAATTGTACTTTTCCCAATTCATATAGCAAGCATTTCTTGAAATCTAGTAAGTAAAACATTTTTCTCTGGCTTCTAATATCCTTGCATTTAAAAAACTACCTAGATTCACACACACTTTTTTGCTTTGATCTCGATTTCCTTGCGATGAAAGTAAAAAACAAAAAAATTTCCCCATTCAAACGTGACTCGTAATAAGATGCTTTCGGTAGGTTTTCGTGGAAATTAAATCGCCCCAAGTATTTCTATGCTATTACCGTAACGCAACGCAGCTGCTGCAGAAGCAAAGTCTCTAAAGGCAACGAGTTTCTAGTCAAACAATTTTATTAGAATCGGTGGAAGTTATTAGTAAGTTCAACGGGGTCAATTTAATTACACGTTGCTTCTACGGTGCGGGGGAAAGTCCTTTGACAAGAAAGCAGTAACAGTCCTTTCAGCACTCTGCCTTTAAAGTAGGTATAGTATGTACGTTTCCGAGTATCTCTGCTAAATCTCCACTCAGTTTCGGATATAAAGGCTTTGATTGCGATGCAATTTGCCGGAATAGAAACAATGTCGAGCGTTTCGCTGCAAATTTGCAAGCGTTGCTCAGTCTCTGTCGTCGGAGGGAACGATTAAACGGCGTCGAAGGCAACTAAGTGCCATAAAACGAGGCAGCCCGAAGCTCTCTACTGTTTTTAACTCCGCGTACTTTTGAAAAAAATAGTTATTGGATATGAGTGAGTCTATGTATTCCGTATTATAAAATCTACAACGCAGGGGAGTACTGACGAATAGATGAATAACTATAGTAATGATTAGACTGCGGATGTTTATACAAATGCATATATTCCTAGGAAACAGATAAAAGAGTGAAACCTAAATAGAAGTTTGTCTCGTCACTAGAGGCTCTTGAAAATATATTTTTTATTTTGCATATTTTGCATATGGTATATGTTTTACATATCTTTTATAAAAACATATGTCATATATTTATTGCATTTCTTTTCATAAAATTAATTTTCATCGGATAGAAGATAAAACGCCCTTGAAAACGAATTTTGTTTCAAGTAGATACCGTAGTTGGTTCTAGAAAAAACGATTATTTACGAAAAAGTGAAATTTAAATTCATTTTCAATTAAACAAACAATTTGTGATCCAGTTTTATCATACACTAGTGGTACGATCAGTAGGAATTGCTGAAATTACTTTGGGTATGTGGCGTCAAAGTAAATGTGAAATTAAACATAGAAGACAGCAAAAATTATGGTAGCTGGTATAGACATTGGATAGAGGCTGAAATGCTCTTTAAAATGAGCGTTTGAACAAGTCGATAGCTTTATTAGTTCCAAAGATATAGCGATTTTAATTTCAAGTCGATGCGGTGGCTAGTTCCGGAGATATAAGGGTTCGAAGCGTTTGTTTACTTTCTTACTATGGCTTCGTCAAGGTCGTTGACCTCACGTGCTCGTAGTAACTAGGTCACTCGGTCACTCGGTCACGAGTCACGTACGAAACAAAGAAGCCCTGCAAGACGCGTCAGACGAAGACAGAGATAGTCGAATTAAAAAAATTACTCCTTTACATAAATTACGATATCTCGAAAACGCAAGGTCGGATCGACAAAAACCAAAAACCATTTTAAAGAGGAAGGTTTGCCGCTTCCAACGATGGCTCAGTTATGGAGAAAACACTAATAGCTTCGGAACTGCACACTTCTAAAGTTTAACTATTTTGATACGCGTTGTTAGACTGTTCTAAGACAGTGGAAACTGAAGATTCTCTCCTTTCACCTTTGTTACATATTTCCTATTTACGTCAGAAGCTAACTAGAATTTGATACCAAATTTTGTTCAGTTTTTCACAAAAAAATATAAATCATGCAACCAATCAGACTGGTCGTGATAGACAAGAGGGTCCATATATTTTTCTCAGAAAACAAACAATAAGAATAGAAGTGAATATTGTAAAATTCATTGTAGTGTGGCGCTAAAATAATATTGTGTGTTAGGAATTCTAAACAAAATTTTAAAAACGGTCATTTGACCGGTCGCGGTAAGTTTAGTGTTAAGCGATAAACGTCATCAACTACCTCTTGACAATATTGGAAAAATACTCGTAACATATCGTAATTTAAATTATAATTGATTATTATTATATTTATGTAATAAAATTATTTGAACATACTTCGAGTATATTTTGCATATTCCTGTATATTTTAGCATATTATTTGACATATGTCATTTACATATTTTGACATATTTTATTGACATAAACATCCGCAGTGTAGTAATGATTCTTAAAATGAACATCGCTCCTTGGCGTGTTCATTTTTCCTGCAATAGAGGCGAATTTCGACACCAGTTGGTGTTTAGACGATATCATTGAGCCTCGGTTGAGATAGAAATGTTCAATTTACGAATCACGTCTGGGGATCATTTTAAGAATCATTAGTTTTATGCTTTTTCGAAATGTTTATCAAGTAACGCCCGGCATTCGCGTTTGTCGATAATCCCCGCCTTCGAGCGACACCGGTACCGGTTTCCGCGATATTCGCTACGCACCGCAATTAAACCGCCGTCGCTAATCGCTCTGCGGTCTCGATACTCTCCCGCGGTACAACGGTGGTTCGAAGCCCGGTTTTCGCCTCGGTTACCGGGTCGCTCGCCTAACAAATAATCCGTTTACTCGAGAGACGATTCCGACAGATCCCCAGCAGCGTGCTCCTCCAATGCCCGGCTGCTCGATCAAGAGATTCGCTCTTTGGCGATCGGGATCGAGAACGAAAGCTCCTCTACGAAAATTAAACAAAAAACCACCTTGCTGGTTGCATCGTCATCCGTATGGAAAAATCTCCGGATTCTAATTGGGATCGGTTCCGACTTCTCTCTAATTGGGACCCGGTCAAGTAATCCGCTCGGATTTTATTCGGAAATGTAATAATAAAGTTGCACAGTGTAGCACTTGTCTCGAAAAGGCGGGAGAAGATCATCTTTGTCTGGAAGTTGTATTAAAATCCGGTGAATTATTCTTTTGGTAGAAATAGTGTTAAAAACTTCGAAACTAATTTTAATTGGGAAATATGCCCGACAATTCTTCGCTGGATGATTCGATCCGGTAGGAAATATTAATCCCTCGAGACTTAAGTTATTTAAAAAATTTCCAATAGATTTGGACGTATTGCAACTCTTGCACTCAAAATACAATAATTGAATTACAGGATTGCCAATTACCATATATACTCTTTCCGTATAAAGCTCTGTCTCGGGCTCTCCACGAACGAACTTCGATGTCCGATAATCGTGAAACGAGAGACTGAAGTAAAAGTAGCGGAGGGTATCGCGACCCAGGTTCAAAAGGTTCTTTCAACAACTCAGTATTGGTGTACTCGTGGTCCAGTCTCACGGGATGCCCGAGTTTATTCATGAAGCTTCCAAGTCGATCCCCGGGATCCATGGACTTGAAACTTTTAACGTTTCCCTGATACGACGAAACGCTGAATCGTAGGGCACCGAGCATTGTCACTCTAAGTAGAAAAGCAAAGACTGTGATTGGGGGAACAAAATCGCGAACGTGCTCCAGGCGACTTAAAAAGTTTCGAGCTTTTCGCGTATTCCCCGTTTCCTGATTAAAGTCGCCCCGTAGTTTGCGTGCACAATACAAATCGAGTTAACGATTCTCCATGTCGGGGGCAATTAGATTTGCTACGAGGACGGATATCGTTGATAATACACCAGCGTTTCGTGTCTCGAATTACTGCTCCATTAATTGCTACAGCCAGACCGTCGACAGATTCATCGAAACTGATTTTATCACGACCATGTCTTTTCGATAAACGATTTAATTTCCATAAACGATAAGATCGGTGCTATTTTAAAAAATTTGTTTAATCTCAGGGGGGTTTAAAGGAGCTCCACCAACATTTATGTTCATAACATTTTTAGCATTTAAAAATACATCTGTAGATAAATGCTTGCTTCGACATTAATATTGAGAAGCTGATAATTTTATTTTTCTGTCATTCCCCAGCCTTAGACGTTGTTTCAACCATACTTTATGTTCGTGTAAATAAAAGAAGTATTATCTATCAAAATATTCATCTGCTCTCGTAAAATATATTATTAGAAAATATAATATGGTGGGCGATTTCTCAAATTAATGGTGGTAATGAAATTGTTAAAGAGACACACGACGAATTCCTCCTGTGACAATTGTAAAGAAGAACAGGAATGGATTCGATTGTATTGATGACATAGGATCCGCCATTTTCTTAACGTTCGGGAATTACTGGCGTCTACAAATTCTCGTGGCAATTTTTGCCAAAAGGAGAACCCCGTAGATATTGGAAACTTTTACGAAACTCAGTTATGCCCTTTGGAAACTTCACAGTTTACGACACGCCCGTTTTCGACCGAGTAAGTGAAAAAGGGAGAATATTGAATCTTTAGAAATGAATTTCCAGTTTCGCCCCACTAAACAACGAATGACAACCCGGAGTACGTAGGCGACAAGCGTTTGGAATATTGAGTTTAAGAGCACGAGAAACGTAAACTTTTGTTGGCGAACTGGCCACTTCGATCCTAAAGAATGAAAGTCTATGGCTCGAGATTTCCGTGCAGGAATTCGATCGATCCATTTCTTATTTTATTCTCTATCCCTAGAATTTTGTTGAAACAAATATTGCTGATAATATTCGATATATGTTCCTCGATACATACTGTGAATAATTATAAACTCAAGTATTGTAAACAAAGTTAAAGGAACTGATTCTAAAAGCACCGTACTCGCTCTACAAAATTGAGAAACAAATAACTCAGTAATCCAAAACATTATTGAATTAAATGAAACCCTTAAGCGAGACAAAAGAGAAGTTTTATATTCCTGGATCCCCGCCCATATTGGTATTGAAGGCAATGAAAAGGCCGATACAGCAGCAAAACTGGCTAGCTCCAGTACAGCTATAATGAAATATAAGCAGGCAACTCATCAAGACCTCCAAAAGTATTGCACCAAGGCACTAACGGAAGTGTGGAATGAAGAATGTAGAAATAGCAGACCAACTAAGCTACACAAAGTTCGAAACAATATATATGACTTCAATCCGGCACTACCACTAAATAGAAAAGATCAAGTGACAACAACCCGATTAAGAATAGGGCACTCAAGCTGGACACACTCATACCATATCACAAAAACCGAACCAAATTCCTGCGACACCTGTAACGTACAAAATACTATTGAACACATCTTGACAATTTGCCCTAAATACAATATGAAGAGGATTCAACATAAGCTACAAAATTCACTGACGATCCTACGAGAAATAGACTCATGCAAAAAAGTTTTAAACTTATTAAAAGACATTAAAGTATACCAATTGCTCTAAATATGATCAGTTCCACTAGGTAACCCAATTGTGGTCACTAATAACCAACAAGGTGCATGTGACCTAAAACGCTCAGTTAAAGGAACCGTTCGCGTATTTTCATATTGAAGACCAAGGAAACAGAAAACGAAAATTTTCTTCAAAGTTTCGACTGGTGGACGAATTTTTATAGTTCCTCAGTGAAAATTCCTGTCGCCTGTAAAGAGGAATTAAGTGGCTGCTACATGTTTCGATATCCACGAAAGTCACAAAGCGCTAGAGACGAAGACGATGGGCCCCGTTTGCATGTCAAGAGTCGAGAGATCGAGAATGCTTGCGTACACTTTGATACGAACACACTGAGGGCCAAGAGGGTGGATTCAGGGAGCGTTTTAAGTCCTGTAATGAGCGTCGACGAGCACATTTGGCGACAGTTTTTACCGTCAAGATCGCTTTACATACCGCTCGAGTGCTCCCCAAGTAGGTGACTACGCTGCCACCATCCTGTATACTCGCCTACCCCGGAAGATCCGTATCTACAGTCATCGTCATCAACCGTCTATATAACGCTCTGTTCACGCGGAAAAGTATACATTGGAAAAAGCGGGAGGAACGTGAGCGCGAAAGATAAGAGCTCCCTCGGATTAAAGCACGCGGATTCGTGGCAACGGAGGGTCGGATTGGCCTTCATCAAAAAACGGCTGGCTGGCAATAATGAGCCACAGGATGTGTGTCGGTCGAAGGACAGGATTCGAGGATGGTCGAACTGCCATAACAGCGACGGGGATAGAGAAGTGAACGTTAGGAGAGCCAACCCTCATCGAACAGTCCGCAGACGTCGATTCCGTGGAAAAATAAGGCGGAAGCGGATCCCTCGCGCAACATCCTGGATGACGGAGGGTGAGGATCGATCCTGGACCGTCGATCGGACAACGGATGCATCTTACGACACACTTTGTACCGACATGTCAATTATACGGTATTTGTTTTACACGAACCTTCGGAGAGAAGCATAAATTAACCAGCGGGACTTTACGTAAATCGTGATTTATCGATGAAGAGAATAGGTCTGCGAATAGGAAACGCCGGGGAAATAAATTGACTGGTTCGATAGTATCCATTCTTCTACGGTTTAATTTTTTTTAAAATCAATATCTTGCGTGACATTTCATAATTTTTTAGAAACAGATTCGTTTTTTATTTCAAATTAAATTCTGATTCGCGTTTGCAGTGCTTTCCTATGGGATCGACGCGGTGCCTGCGAACACCACGATGCTAAACAACAGCATCGTGGCGGAAGCGTGCGGTGCTAACTTCTGCGGAGCGACTTCCGGCGACGCTGAGGCCCCGAAAATAGAACGACCGCCGGAGGAAAGGATTTATCTGATTTCCGGGATTTATTTGGTCTGCATGATCGTGGCTTCCTTGATCGTCGCGTTCGGGGTCGATTCTTTAACGAGGTAACCATCCAATTTATTAATTAAGTTAAGCACGTTTATTGCATTCCCGCGATTGTATATTTAAAATTCATATAGTCTTCATACCCCTTTCGGTATAATACAATAATTATTTATATCGCGATTCGTATTTAATTACGTTCCAATTGCTCGTAAGATTGCTAATAAATTATCACGAAGAAACCCGCCGAACTAATCCGGTACGTTTCCTGACGTTATTACGCCTCTGATGTAGATTGCAAAGTACATACGTTGTATCGTGTATGGCATGAATTGGTAATGTATAAATGGAATTCCGTAACGTTTCAGACAATATTGCTGAAACGTTACGGAAATGTTGCCGAAACTCGCGCAAAGCCGAGCGTAGGCAAACTGTAGTAACGTTACAGCCACATGTTAGAAATACTTCATAAACTATTTCAAATATTCCCGCTGGAAAGGAAACAAAAATATCCCCTGCAATATTCCTGCAGTGTCTTGTGCTATGTGGGGATCTAATAACGAGGATCTGTAACTTGGACAATTTCTACGCTATAAAACAACTATAGAACATCAGCCAAAGAACAATTGTAAAAGAGACGTGAACTTATCAAGTGCTTCGAAAATCCGAGAAATTCTAACGATTATTGGAATTTGTTAAGAATCTGCCCTGACCATTTGTAACTAATGTTTTACAGTTTGTTGACATCGATTCGAGCCTGACACCGTTGGAAAAATTCTGGCCCACCTCGTACAGTCCCTTTGTTGTTTCGAAATCAGATTCCATCGGTTTCGGCTAGATCGACAGATATTGAAAACTGTGCCATATTTTACCGCAGATTCGATTCATTCATCGCAATGTCGTGTTAAGAGCACGCACACGTCGCTCGAGAAGAATGGTTGCGTTTGTATCGTTCGACATCTGGTCCCCTGAAAAATCCGTGTTATGAGAATCAGTCTCATCAGAGAAGTATTGGAAACCGATAGCCGCGTCGCGTATGAAATTTCAGTGTACTGGAATGCGCGGGTAAATACAAGCCGGGCTTTTATATTGGAAAGAAAAAGGAAAAGCAGAATATATTCATCGTCAATCGGCTAAGTTGAGATATATGAGTATCTGGGGAAGTTTGGAATTCGGTGCTTCCAATGGATTTGCAACCGAAGCAAAACGCATTCCAACATAAATCGTCCACGGATTACAACATTCTCGCTATCTCGGGATAAATGACATTTATCCTCTGCGATTCGCGTCAGATTTGATATTATGTTAAGACCTCTGGAAAGACCCGTAAATCGTAGTTTATGGTACAGACCCGAGGATAACGCTGTCTAGAAAAAATATTGGAATCATTTATCGTGTTACTACCTTTTTCTGGAAAATCATCCATCACAACTGTTCAACCGTTTTTGACAATCCTGGCCTTCAGATACACGATCGCTGGTAAAAACTGAGCAATAGCTCGAAGACCTTAACCTTTACTGAAATGACTTACGATGTTTCAAAAAAATTCTCTGTCTAGTAATCTTCTGGTAATGTTTGACTCGATATCATACTCTTATGACACCGACAGGTACAACAAAGGCAGATCCGGTTCAGGGACAGGTTTGTCCGGAGTAAAGTTACTGGCCGTGACATTGAAACTGCTGAAGGAGAAGAGTCAGCTCCTCATTCTGCCTATAATAATCTTCATCGGAGCAGAACAAGCGTTCTTGTTCGCCGACTATAATGCAGTACGTAGATTCGTTTCTACTTTTATCGTTTCCACGATTTACTTTACTATGTATACGACCGGTTCCTTTCAGTCGTTTGTGTCTTGCGCATGGGGAATCAGCAACATCGGTTTCGTGATGATCTGTTTCGGTGTGACGAACGCTATAGCTGCACTGGGCGCGGGATCTGTGATGAAGCTGACGGGACGAAAGCCTTTAATGATATTCGCCTTCTGCCTTCACATGGGAATCTTCGTTTTTCTGTTGCGCTGGAAACCAGTCCCCGAGCAGAGCTCCATGTTCTTCCTGATGTCCGGCTTATGGGGCCTCTGCGACGCCATGTGGCTGGTCCAAGTTAATGGTATTTATCGCAAGCGATCAGAACTCTAAACGATTAGATTTATTTCATTTATTTTGAAGCAACGTTTGTAGACTGACTTAATATTAAAATTTTTTAACGACGTGACGGTCGATAATTGAGCCACTGTTGATACGAATACTGCCTGTTCTACCAATGTTTGGACAACGAAATAAATTCCATCCACGATCACAGATAATAAAGAGGATAGACCTATAGTTTAATGGGATTTCGTGTCATAGTTTTGTTCAATGGGCAAATTTTGTTCACAAATGCCAAATAAAATTTGCTCGATCTCGATATCGATTATGGTGAGAGAACAAAATGTTTGATAATTGGGTACCATGGAGGTTTAGTTGACATCAAAATAACTTAAAAATCAGGCCCTATCGTAAAGAGATGGACTACATTTTATTTCAATAGTAGATAACCAATCGAACCAGCGTATAAAAATAGTGATGACTTTGCTTCAAAATAATAATTATCCCTTTCAATATTTAATCTTAATTCCAAACGTTATAAGGACAGAAGTCAAACTCTAAGCGATAACGCAGATAGTGACACAAAAATGCATCGAATGATAGATCAATAGACGAAGTACACAAGTAGACTTTACATCCAATGTAACTAATGTAACTATTGCATCTATGCCACGGTAAAAAAAAGTAGCACCGTTTTTACTGCTTGTCGGGAAAAACTTTCTATGGTGTTACTGTTTATTGGTAGAGAAGATCTCATAGGGATGTAGTATCGACAGTGGTATAAGTAAACTTTCCTCAATTTCACTTTCTACTGTATATTATTTCTGTTGGGGACTTCGTTTGCGTAAATTTCTAAATTACAAGTATTACATTAGACAGAAGGTAATAAAAGGGCAGTTCGTAGAAGTAGGGGAAAGAAGAAACGAGTTAGAGTTGAAATGTATCATCTTTAGATAATCAGGGTCACTTTATTTCCCCTTGAACAGTCGAATGATCGTTGATTCACGGGGTTATTTTAATTAGGATTACCTAAACGTTACTAGAATCTTGATACGCCCTTCCATCTACAAAACGATTATTTCTTATTGTCCAACGAAACTTACGGTTTATTCTAATTGCCGGTTTCGTGTTAACCTTGCAGCTCTGTCCGGAATACTATTCCCAGGCAAAGAGGAGGCAGCCTACTCGAACTTTCGACTGTGGGAATCCACTGGTTCCGTAATCACGTACGCGTATAGTCCCTACCTTTGTACACATATGAAGCTCTACGTTCTGATAGGGATCCTCTGCCTCGGAATGGTCGGCTACGGTCTAATCGAGTGGTCCGGGAAAGCCGATAGAAGGGTCACAGCATCGAAGCCCGATTTCGAGCTGGTCACCAACGGCGAATCAAACGACACGACGAAACTTTGAGGCGACGGGAATTCTGTCGAACGTTGCTTTCGTGTCTCGTGCATTCCATGGAAACGATTGTATGATCTCTTACGCGGCAATATAAATCGAGTGCAGTGATTCTTAAGCATATGTATATTTTTTTTAAACGTGTACGATTTTCATAATACGCAAAGAAATACATGATCTCGTGTAGCGTTGAAAGATACGCGAGACGATTCGAAATCCTATTCGTACGAGTATTTTCTCGAAAAAGAGACCGATTTGTCGAATGAATCGTTGCAGAAAGGTAGACTCAGAATCGTGTAAATAATATATAATTCCGTTATACATAGAAATCATACATAAATGCGATGCACGTAAATTTCTATGTACAGAGAGTGTCGGTGGAACGAGCGGTCAGGACCTGAAGGTATGTGATCTTGTGTGATTTGTACCACAATATATGTTTTTATTTTATTCTTGTGGACACCTACTAGATTTTACACAGGTATTTTCGCTTAACCGCTAAGATTTTTCATCTCCATTCTTTTTAAATACGTAGTTTAATGTTACATCGTGTTGTCTAGGTGCTAACATTCAAGCTAAAGCTACGGCTGCTTAATTTAATTGTATACTTAATGTGTTTAATTGCGTTCGACTGTATCGGTGTGTAATTGTAATGTATGTATGCGGCGTATGCGTGTAACATCAACGCGTGTCACTTTTCACGGTGTGTTCGTATGCTCGTCGTTTATTGCGCTGTCACGATCAATTGTCTCCCGTCATGAAGATCGAAGGCGTTGGGGTGAATCAACGATCATTACGCACTGGCGTTTTCCTATTTTTCGTGTGCCACGATCGATCCTTCTCGCAGGATAATGCCTGCACGAACGAATCGCGACGTGGAATCAATTGACCCTGCATCTCGTAATCACACGTCGTCGAGATTGCCTGATTGTATTGTGAACGTGTGCTAGCTTAACCCTCGTTATGTACAATTTAAGTTCTGCAGTTCAGTTATATACTTTATAAAACGTAGTAGGAACTTTGGTTTCGCTGGGCAATGTTTCAGAAGCAGTTTCCTCTTGTTTCGCATAGCAACGAAAATTCCGCCTCTTGGTTCGTCTTTGTTTTTCGTCGATCCGGTTTCCCCACAGTTTTAAAAGAAATGCTTCGCCTTGTCCCGTTAACATAGTTTGTCTTTTTCTTTTCTTTTTTTTTTTTTTGTTTACTCTCCCGCACGTATTTTGGACAGCCTGGACAAATGATTCGGCCGGAAACTGTTATAAAACATTCGCCCGTGGATCTATCTTCCTTAGAAATATGACACTCACGAATACAATTCACGATTTTTAATACTCATGTTTATATTTCCGTATGACCTATTGAATATCAATTTCACGAAGAAAATACACATGATTCGTAAACTTTTTTTCTCTTTTCGTTATTCAGTGCTTCGCTCTCTCTCTCACATTGTCATTTGTTTTTGTTCACTCGCGAGCATCCACCGCGCGCGCCATTCTTCACCCTTCCCCCACCCCTTTTTTTCTCATATAACAAAATTTAATAACCGGAATATCTCTGTACAAACATGTTCACTCTTACGCAACGTACGCATCCCGACCCTGACGATCAAAATTTTGAATTTTGAATAGTTTCCCTTCCCCTCGAACCCCACCCCCGCCCTCGAATCGTGTCACCTTATTCGCTCGTATGATACAACACTGTGTCTCCATCTATCCACATTTTCTTTTTGTTCTGTTAATTCATTTCAGTTTGTTCGCTTTGTTTATATCTCTTTCTTTGTGTGCTTCGTTAGGAACAGATCACTTTGCTCGTATCGTATCGTAACAGTAAGAGTAAAATATATACCTTAAAGTACGGCGTGTCTTTACCCTTAGAAATTTATTTTTTTTTTTTTTAAGCATGTAAATTTTCTTTCCATGAATCGTCGTTCAGCTATTCCATAGCTATACGATATTAAAAGTATTAGTAGTTTTTTTTTTTTTTATTTAATATTACACTCCCTAGGTGTCTCCTTAATATGTACACGCTACCCTCGCGCTCCTAGCTACGTTTCGGTAAGGATCTCGTGGTTAATAATGTCGGTGGCGAACTCGATTGGCCGTCGAGGGTTGCTTCACCCCCGCCATGAGACGCGTCAAACGCGAATCGATGGCTTCGATCGGTCAGTCGATTCCGTCTCGGCTGCAGTTATCGCGTAATGATTTAGCTCATTACAATGGGAAGGGTAGTATCGGATAGTACATACTGTTATGTTTTTTTTTTCTTTTTTTTTTTACGTTTTATACGCACAGTCATAGGTGCTAATTATTTACTCGAGTTTTCGATATCGAAGAAATCGTCGTATCGTTATGAAAGATGGGTGTCGCCTAGAGTATCGTTTATTACACAAGAAGGAAAATGTCCGAGAGAACGTCGGTGGCGCGCTATTTAAACGACTATTTACTTCCAGTTAGACGCGTGAAAGAAAGAACTTCTCACATAAGCGGAACGCATTCAATGAAACGCTATTTATCACTATCGATTACCGGGGAGTACATGATTATATCATCAAATAGGGAATTTGTTCGCGGAATTGTGGAACTCGTCCCTGGCCGTTTCGCGTCCCGTCCACCGGGCGTCTTTTCGCGCGTTTCGATTCACGCCTCGAATCGCGTGATAAAATCGATCAACGTTGCCGCGGAACGTTCGCACGATTCATAGGCGCGAATTTATCCGCGTCCTGGCGCGGCGAGTTCCCAACCGAATTAATGTTATGGTCGTTATACGCAATACGCGAGCGCCAACTCGCATTTATAGCGTACAATTTGTACCGATGATTTCGGTTTGCCTCGAAAATTACCATGAGAAGGCAGTGATTCAAATGAAATCCCTCGTAATAGACGTGTCGAATTCAACTGGTTGCTCAATGTCGCTTCCGCCCTTACGAATCTTGCCCCGCTGAACGAAAAATATAGAGCATAAGTTTGCTGGTTAGGTGGTATCGGAGGGCGCGGTCATTCGACGTGGTGGGGATAGCCCTTTGCAAGCAATTGATCCTGTCCAGACTGTGGTGAAACGGAAGCGTATGAAAACCACATTAAGCAACCCATTAGTCCCCAAAGAACAAGCAAAGACGATTCAGAACTATCTGAATGCTCGGTATTCAATCTCCACTTTAATTGGAAGCGGAATCGTTCGGTTCCAGCTAAAGGAAAAATTGAATCTTTAATTAATTCGGTTGCACACTCCCCCACGATAGACGGGACGCGTTACGTTGGAAAATCTCGATTCGATCATCAGCGGGCATGTAAATGTTTAATAGGTATACCTCGTATATGGCAGATTATTACGGACTAGTGTTTCATTTTTTTCCCCTATCCTGCAGATACCTCGATCGTCTTTCACGTCTCTTTCTTTCTGGTTCGAATACAATTTTAGGAGCATCGGGAGGATCCTTACGATCGATCGCAGTATACTTTCAAAGACGTTATTGCGTTAATTTTTCTTTCGCTACAGATTTCAAGTTCCCATTTTTCTCCCCCATTCGCTTTTTGTTAGGTCGATCTCTAAATACACGCGTAATTTACAGACGAGCACACCCAGAGAACAATATTGTTGAAACAGTCTAACGAAACCCCGTAAGAAAATGGTCGTTTTTTGTAACTTGTTTTTTTTGTTTTCGGTGAAGAACAGAACTAAATTGGACAATCGTCATAAACGATATCGGCGGTACTGTAAAACATTTCCGTTGCTATTTCGTGGACAACTGAATTGTATCCTTGTATATGGCATGGTGAACGTGATGGTATAGCGTCGATACTGTTGTATCTCGTTGCTTCAACTATGTTCTTTTTATCGTGGGCAAAGGACCACTGTCCATCCTGTGGATTCCTTAGTTCTGGATGCATTCTCGGACGAAAAGCATCGTTCTGTCAATATCATCATACTTTTCGTACGATCCTCGTTTGTGCTTCGTCTCCATTGACAGACGATTCTCAGTAGCTGGAAGCTTTTCAATTGTTTTACGAACTAGTATTATCTGTGCGATTACTTGCGGAATTACTTATCCTATGTTTGCGAGTCGAGGCGCGAGCGTGATAATTACTGTCCGATTAACGTTTCGTTACACGCGTCACGGCTCATAAAACCGACAATTCCCGTCGAATATCAAAACGGTAACACGCGACAGGCTCTTTCGAAACGAGTACTTTCGCGAATTGGCGAAATTAAAAGTTCTGTTTTACGGTCCGCTGGTAATGCATCGTGTACCGTCTGTCGGGACGTAGTCGTAACGTCGGTTCTTTATCAACCGTCAGTAAAACGGTAACCTATATAGCCTGTCGTTGATAAAACGATAACCTGTGCTACCTATCGTCGATAAAACGTTCGGACTCGATGATTTTCGATGCGATCAAACATCGAACGAGCCCACGATGACGAGACAGAATTATCAATACCCGTCGCTCGACTCCTGTACATCACATATTCGTAGATTAAAATTATTTACAGATAGATCTCGTATACGCCTGCAAATCACAATGATCTTTTACATCGACGGCCAGTCGGTGCGCGTTTTTAAAAATTCAAGCCCGGCACTCGCTGAGAAGCCTGAATTTTTAAAGTGTTCCCTTGTACGCGGCCGATTCGTCGTAACATTTTTAATAATACGACACTGAGACTCGGGCTCCTTCAACGGGCATAATCCGCGAGGAAAGACTGATGTAAGAAACGCGTCCATCGTAATCTAAATCTCGTTGGGATCTTTCCGTGCATCGTACGATTGAGTTCTTAAAGCCTTCCTTTCTCATTGGTTCGACAACGTTCGCAGGGTGTTCTTCAGAGACTGCCTCTTATTGCAGAACCAAATCCTTATCACTTCCCTGTCGTATCCGAGCCGATGCGCTAAAGCCGTGATTTCGTTACCTGTAAATCAAACGAAATTACCAAAATTAATGACTTCAAATCTCCTATTCTATTCTATTTGGTACAAAATTGCTCTTATCTATCTATTCGCATTAAATATCGGAACAGTGATGTTCACGAAGAGTGATACAGTACATGCAAACGATTGTTTTTTGTTTGAATTCTTTAGAGCAGGTTGATCGTTCAAATTATCAACATAATATCGCATAAATAAAGAAACGCGTACAGGCTCGAATTAATTTGACGTATTCGATAAACTTAACTCAACCGGTTCTGCAACTAATTCGAGTATCGCGTTCGCTCGCGAATTAAATATATTTAAACCGGATGTTCGTTCCGTGCTAATTTCTTTCCTTTATATTCGACAAGCAGCGTATCATCGAATCGATCGAAGCAAAAACTTTTGTTCGCCGGTTGCTCGCGTCGCCATGCAGCACACGCCGTTATGTAAACGTAAGAAGAAACGTTACCGTTTGGATGAGTATTTCTATCGAAGTGATTATTTAGCATTTCCAGAGCCTGCGGAGTGAACGAAGTTCGTCGTTTTCGCTTCTTGCTGGGTTCCACCCCGATGAATTCCGTCAGATGATTCACCCCCCTTTTGTACCTGTAATCAGACACACTGTTTCCGCTCAGGTTCGACCAGACTTGCTCTCTCATTGCTTTGATAAATCAAATCAATCTAAGAAAAAGCGCAAGAAACGTTCCAACAACGATCGTTCATTTTCGATTATATCATTCTAATAGGACTAACAGTTTATTCTTAACCTCTTCACGCCCTTGGCCACATATCTGGACGTTTAGTTTTTTATAATTATAGTCACTGTCAATAATAAATAGACCAAAATTTTCATTACAGATTATATAAAAAAAAAAATCGTACCTGAAGAGGTTAATACAACTCTATCCTGAATCACTATGTATCACGTACATCGAACATCTATCTGACATCGGTGATAGTCTTGTAATTGTTTCAAAGCCAGAAATATGCGACACTATGTACATTGTACCGTTCGTGTATAAAGTTTAATTCTTTTTAAACAGATACATTTTGTTGGAGTTGTCTAAAGATGTTTTAAAGTTACTATTTATTTTCGAAACGACAACAGGGAGAAAATCGCTTTCCTAAGTTTCAATTTTTAAATTCATTTGTCTCGTGTGTTTTGAATAGTGGAAATTAAATTCTTCTTTGCAAGTAAAAACAATCATCTTTCGCTTTCTACGTAAAAAGTTGTTATTTCGGACGTTCATACGCGAATCCGGCATTAAATGATCAAGCATCGAAACATTTACTTTATGCTTTACTTCGTTCAACGAAAACTACAATTAGCAACGAACCGACGTGTCGTCAACAATATTTCGCGGCTCGATCAACGGTTTTCCCGCCTTCCAAAAAGACATAAATCGGATCACGTCCAGCGACTTCGTCGCGAAAACTCAATTTCCATCTCACGCTGGGCGCAAATACGCCCCTCCCGATCATGCTCTGATCAAATATTAAAACAAAACACGCCTGTCGGTCGTCTGTTAACTAGGCAAACTTTCTCCGCATCGAAGCGTCGCGAAACTGGAACCGGAACATCGTAAACAGAAGTGTTCGCCGCGGGAGACCACCCTCAATCTCGACATTCATCTCGACCGGTCGCTGACCGAACTGCCTGCTATCTAGTCCTTCTCTCGAAAACGAAAACTACCGAAAAATATATCAAGAACAATCCAAAATTTCTTTAGAAATCCGAGGTGTATAATTTTTTAGAACGTCGTGGAATCTCTAACGCAATATTTTATTCCCAGCTCCCATTACTGGCTTCGAATTTTTCCATCGAATGATTGGTTGATTCCTGACGAAGAATTTCGATAATAAATTTCAATAATCGTGAGTGTAGTCATAAAGCACGCGGCTCGAACAAACGAATAGCAAATATGGCGGCTGTGAAGATTGAAAATTCTATCGCTCTTATTGGGAAAATCGTGTAATATCGAGGATGGTTACGAGACACGCTAAACAGAAACGGGGCGTTGTTTACGAGACGTTCCCTTCCCGACTGATTGGCGCTACCCTCTCGTCGGCGAACTTTTCCGAACGCGGCGCAGGAGAGCATCGCGACGTCCGGCGTCGGGCTCGCAAATGAAATTAGCGATCGAAGCGTCGCGGCGGTTCGAAAAAACCTCGTGACCGTAAACAGGAGAACTTCCGCCGGGAATCGCGGGTAAACGAGTCGAGCGCGGACGGAGGGAGGGCCGAGAGCCGGGGGAAGGGTCGCCGGCGTCCCGACGCGGGGGCGGCTCGGGTAGATGCCGCTGTGGGATTTATGTTTTTAATTTAACTCCGTATGACCAACTGTCGAGCCCCGCCGAAAAAAGTGCAGGCCGAGCCATTAGCATCGCGCGGTGATATTTCGTCGAATCCGCGAAAACAATATGCTAATGGAGAACCGGGCGAGCGCGAAGAACCGATGACTCCGAACGTGGGGTGGGTTAGACAGGGGTGGAACGAAACTCGGGGAACGAGGAGAGAGGGTGGACCGAGTAGTTCGCGATTAAACATTCGTTTTCGCCATATTTTTAAAATTGATCCCCCGGAATACTCCGAAACGAGAATCGTAACTGCCAAAAGGGGGGTGGTATTGCGAAACTTAAGGGTCGGCGGAAGTAAATTTTTATTGTAAAATGTTAAGAGATTTTTGCGAATGCAACAGATAGTTTGGGCAAAAATACACTCCGATGTACTTTTTGTGAAAACATACCAACAGAAATTATAAAAGACTAGTTTTAATAACTCTAGTTAATCCCTTGACGTACGACTTAATTTCGAATATCTTTTCATACGTATACTATTTAATTTTGCTTAAATTTGTTCGTACTAGGAATGGTCACGAAAAAGAATAGATTTGTTTTACGAATACCTCGTGAATGTAAAAATGTGTTGACGTTAAGAAATTGTATCGAGTCAGACTCGTCATTGTACGGGAAGGGGTTAAAGAAGCCTCGTTTGAATATTATTTTACAATCTTTGACAGTGAAATTCTTTCTTTTCTTTTTCGTTTATAAAAAATTGTATTTTTATATCTTTGCAGCGAAACGATGGGCAATAGACAGCATAACTTTCGAATAATCGTAGTTTTCTAGAAACGCGAGGCTAAAGAAAGTTTGATGCCACAAATTCTGAGCTTAACTATCCTTTCAAGTGCAGACAACGTGATATTCTCCCGAAACATCTTGTTAAGAAATTAAACTTCCTAGAACAGTCACAGAGTTGCTCCTCTTAGGGGATAAATTTAACCTTCCGCACGAATGGACCAATTAGTAACGCTATAGTATACACGTATCTATCGTCAAGGAAATGGAATTAGAAATCTGGATGCAGAACATTTCTATAAAACAAAAGTAATATTGACGATACTAAAAATAATAAGTTTCATTTAAATTGAATCAAATTCCCTTTTCCTTGACTTAACCATGCAATTCCTACAATATTGTTGAGAATAATCATTGCATGCCTGTATTTTCAATGGAAATTTGTATCCATTGGTGCAGTCCCCTTGCAAAGGTCACTACTACCTAAGGAGGACAATCGCTTATTGCACCCCCTGAGCGTCTCTTATATTTTTCCGAGCCTCAACCTCAGTTAGCAGAAAACCGCCAAGCTAAGAACAGCATTTTCGTTTTGTAAAACTACATTAATTAAATACATACTTGGGTCGAAACTCTGTTCTAATTATTTAGCAAATAAATATTGAACATATATGCTAAACAAGAAGATTTTTGCATTTCTATAAATACCATAAAAATTGGTCCTGCACGGTGTTAAACGATAGAAAACACGCGAACGTAGAATTTAAATCTCGTTGAATACCTTGAGAGCGATTATAATAAATAATAAGTTTGATTTAAATTGAATCAAATTCACCTTTCGTTGACTTAATCCATGCAATTCCTACGATATGCTAAACAAGAATTTTTTCTTGATAATAATGATTTTTGCGGTCCTATAAATACCATAAAAATTGGTCCTGCACGGTGTTAAACGATAGAAAACACGCGAACGTAGAATTTAAATCTCGTTGAATACCTTGAGAGCGATTATAATAAATAATAAGTTTGATTTAAATTGAATCAAATTCTCCTTTCGTTGACTTAATCCATGCAATTCCTACGATATGCTAAACAAGAATTTTTTCTTGATAATAATGATTTTTGCGGTCCTATAAATACCATAAAAATTGGTCCTGCACGGTGTTAAACGATAGAAGACACGCGAACGTAGAATTTAAATCGCGCCGGATACCTCGAGAGCGATTATAAATATCGCAACCGTTTCCTTTGTGTCGATTAACTGCGGGCCGCGTTCTCGATAAGCTTAATAAACCGGCGGCCTAAAAAGAAAACGCTATCGTATCGTGTGCGTTGCGGAACAGGTGAGAAAAGCCGTAGGACAGGGCGGTGGAAGGAGGGAAACGGAACCGAACGCGCGCGGAGGGTTAGGTTCGAGCAACGTATACACGCATAGGTGAGAAGCCAAACGAAAGGAGAGAAGGGGTCGGACACGGTTAACGGCGAATAAGGACGCCGCTAAACGTGTTCGTGAGGTTTAATTCGCGAAGTTCGCGCGGCGAAATGGGAGGGCGAGAGTGCAGGTAAAAAGAGAGGAATTAAACACGACCGAGGCAAGGAAGAACCAGCCTCTGCCCCGATACTCTCTGCACGCCCGGGAAACAGAATATGGAACTCTTATACGACCGCTTTGAAAACGAATTGCTCAAGTGACCGCGTACGATTTACTAAGTACGCTTAGTCACTCGAACGACTCGTTTCGTCACGCCGGCCACAACTATTTCCTCTAAATCCCCCTGGCGGGATCAACGGAATAAATCAGCTAATCGAATATTTATTAGAAACTCCTTACGGCTGGCATTAAACGAGCACGCCTAAACACGTGCGCGAGTTCAATAAGAGAATGGCGAGCGTAGGGACCGATCGCGGAACTTGTTAAAGACGCAATCGTCGACGATGAAAAGGGAAAACATGGGAAGATGGATGGATGGATATTCGTAGCGTTGGGAGGCTGATGACATTTGTCTCGAACACCCGTTTTACGGGACGGAATTTCGAGTTTCCGATTGGATTTCACGATTCACGACTATCGAGCGAGAACGGAGAAGCGTTCATGATTGCATGAATACGGTACTTGGGCCACTTATTTTCAGGTGTCGCGTTAGGTGGAGACGCGTCAAAGAGAAGGAGCCAGGGAGTGTCGAGTAAAATGAGGAAGGGACAGCGGGAGGCAGAACTACGGACGGACAGGGCGTGACAGATAGAACTACAGAGAGACAGAGTGTGACGCGTAGAACTACGGAGAGACAATGAGCGAAAGACAGAGTTAGCCTGAGCATTAGATCTATAGAGATATTGTGTGAGGCAGGTAGAATTTCCATACGGTAGCAAACCAGGTAGAATCGAGGATAAAAGGGGGAAGATAGAAATAGAGAAAGGGATGATGAATGAAAGACAAGCCTAGTAAGTGAAGATGAAATCTATAGATTGTGTGAGGCACGTAGAGAAATATAGAACCTGAGGAATAAAAGGTGGAACCAGGGAACAGAAGAATTTGGGTAGAATGAT